AAAAAAAAAAAAAGAAGGCCCCTATAATCAATGCACATCCTAAGTGTACCCTCCTTCTTCTTAGGTACGAATAGTACTGGAGATCCATAAGGTGAGACGCTCGGCCGGATCCAACCTTTCTCTACGAGTTCCTTGAGCTGTCGGCGAAGCTCATCGAGCTCGCCTGGAGACATCCGATAGATCCTAACCTTCGGGATACTAGACCCTGGGATAATCTTTATCGCGTGGACGCCCTCCCTCTCTACAACCCCTGTCGGCTCTTCAAATAGATCAGGGTACTTAGCAACTACTACCTCTATCTCCGGCGGCATTTTCACCGGCTCGCCTGCAGCAGAGACAAAAACTAGGTACATACCCTCCTCCTGATTTTTCTTATAATAATTATAGAACGCGGCCGCACACATGCATCCATAGGAGTCGATTAGACTACTAGCTTTGAACTTATGCAATCTGGCGGTCCCTCCACCTGGCAAAGTGTGTTTGACCACTTTTCGGTCTCAGTCAAACTAGGGCTGAGCCACAGAGAGGTAGTACATTCCCAGTAACATATCCATTGGGAGCTCGTCACTCACTAGGAACGAGACGTGATGTCTGAATTCCCCTCCCGCGTACGGGAAACAACACTCTACATTTTGGAGGTAGTCATTGATTACCATGCGCTGTTTGTTGGCACAGGTCGACTCCACAGGTCGACTCAGGCGCTGCACTTGCCCCTGTAAGCGCAGCCTCTCAACGCACGCGCGACTGATAAAGTTCCTAGTCGAGCAAGTGTCATAATAGGCCCCGGCCTTACGGCCGCCAATGACAACCTCGCTGACGAACATCTCACCCTCAGGGGCTTTGACTAAGGCCGTCCAAGAAGCTAGGGGGTCTGATCTAGACCACTCCACCTCCAGCTCCTCTAAGGGCTCAAACACATTCATCGAACAAAGGCTCGATGGGTCTGAACGTGTTTGCGGGACGACACTGGAGTCAGTAGCTTGGGCCATCTCTCGAGCTGGTGATGGTGTCTCCACCACCTCGACCCTAGCAGGAACAACTACTATTCCTACTGGTCCGACGTGTTTCCCGGAGCACTGCCAGAAGTAGCAACACTGCTACCGACGGGATGAGAGGATCCTAACACCTGCCCCATCGTAGGCGGGATCTTTTCGGTTACCTTCTTGTTGCGCTACTTGTACTGACTATGGCCATATTGACCACATTTAATACAGGCCTGCCGTGAGTACCGATCTCTCCACACGTCCTCTGTGAGACCCGCTTTCTCCCATGGAGGAGCATTGGGGTCAACTTGACTCCTAGACCGGGAGCCTCCACGGCGTCTACTGGTCGCGTTACCTTTTTGAGCAACGGCAACGACTACTCCACCCTCTGAAGCTTCTACGCTGCCCGCCTCTGAACCTACTCCCTCTTGGAAGTGTTCGTCTACTTTGATAGTGGAACCATCATTATCGACAAACATTAAGCGACCCTTCGCCTTCCAGTTAGGAGGCAGTGTCTTCTTCCTCCCATCCGTAGTGGGTGCCTATCCATGCCCTATCTTAGCCTCAAGGTGTAGGGCCATCTTGCTGAACAAAGGAAAGTTGTGCATATTGATGTTGGCCTCCCTTGCCAACTGGTTCCTGAGAGGCAATGAAAAGCATCTCAAGTACGAGGTAAGTAAGACCTGGGGGTCATAGCGCACCCCTGGGACGCAGATCAGACGCTCAACAGCGTCGGTGGCTTCCCTTACTGACTTGAACTGCCGCGTGTGCAGTGTCAGGATCGCATCAGTGGCCCTTTGGGCGTCCTGAGGATCGTGCCACTTGTCCTTCACCATCTTCAGGAAGTCCTCCAATTTATGAGTGACCGCCCAAGCGCGGAAGTCATGACCATACCCCTGGAGCTGCACTAAACCACTCAACCATCTTGCTGCACTACCCTCTAGGTAGGAAGCAGCCACAAGCACTTCTTCGTGCGGCAAGGTAAGTTTACACCTGACGTAGACCGACACTGCCCTCAACAACGTGTCGAGGTCTTCGCCCCTCTGAAAGGTTTGGGAGCGGCGATAGCCGTCTTTGGAACCCACTGTGTCTGTCCCGGTCCCTGCATCACTACGGGCTGTGGACCCTGTGACACAGGTTGCTGTGCCAGCTGTTGGGGCTGTGTGCCCTGCGGCTGCACAAGCTGCGAGACAGCAGGCTGCGTGGTGACTGCAACCTGCAACGGAGTTTGAGTGAACACTGTCTGAACAGGAACCTGCAAACTAGTCCTTGCTGATACCCCTCTTGATAGTGGCATGCCCAGGGAAACGATCGCGACCGATGACGGGGCTACATATGGGGATACCCCAATCACCGTTGGGACATAAGGAGGAGGACGGACAACGGGCCAGGCACCAGACCCGGACATTGGCAATGTGGCCTGCGTTCACCCAACCAACAGGGCCAGACTTTGTTGGATGTCCTGAAGGATGGCTGTCTGATGGTCCCGCATCTCAACTACATTCAGCAGGACAGACCGTACGAGTCTCACATCATCAGTCACGTTCGTCAGGTCCATCTCCTCTAACTCACTAATGTCCGCTTGTCTACGTTGCATCCTGGCTCTTCTTCTAATCATTCTGTCTTTCTCCGCTTTTATTTCTCCTAACGCCTTCTGTAGCTGTGCCTCCTGCATTGCTGCTTGTTGTATGGCAATCTCATCGGGAGTTGACACCAGTGGCTGGCTCGCCATGACCCCAGTGGACTGACTTTGGGTCTGCGCGACCGTTGACCCAACAGACCCTGAACTACCGGCCTGAGTAGACTGCTGTGCTGAGGTGGCCATGGCTTCTGAAGCTGCGGCTTCACTCACTAGTGTTCTGCTAGCCTCTGCTGCTCTAACCCTCCTCTGCTGCTGCTGCCTCTCCCTAAGCTGGCGGAACAGATGTCTGTCGCCCTCTGGTCCTAATGCCAAATGGGCTACTGGGCGCCTTGCCGATCGCAAGATCCGGTCATCCGGTTGCTGTTCATCCCTATCACTCATAAGCTACAACCCTGTACACAATCTGCACTAATGCACTCTAGGTGCCTACCGCAGCGTAGTGCACAAACCAATCAACTGGTGGCTATTTCGGAGACTTTACATTCGGGTCAACAGGTAAGTCAGGTTCCTACAAATAAAACTATTTTTAGTTTGACTAGTCTGCAAACAGAAGCACCAGGAACAATAAACAGTTCTAACTAATGCTGTCTGTCAGATGTCAATGGCTGTACAACTAACTAATCAAAACATAAAAATAGAATTGTTTGTGTGGATAGGACAGCATGGAATTTTCTCGAACTTATCAACTGGAATTTACCCCTCCCTTAGTTCCTCTGAGTATCACTTGACGTCAGCTTCCTTGAGCAATCCAGAGGCGTTGCGTGTCTAAAGGTGTGTGTCCGGCCCACCCCTGTGCCCCGAGTATCTGCTGAGCTGGCCAGCCCTGCACTGGATTATCCTCGCGTGCAGCGAGCCTTACAACCGTTGGCTGATCCAGAGGCAATTCAACGTCCGCCCCCAAGTGACTCCAGGAATTCTTTTACGTCGCAGCCGGACGACGATCACAGCCAATGGTTCCCCTTCCTGTGCTTATTTAAAGACGCCCGGTCTCGTCTCCCTCAAGGGCTGGCCTGCCCAACGATACCCATCTAACAGCGCAGCAAGCCGAACAAGGACAAGCAGCAAGGCATGCGTGCTCTACTCCCTGTGGGTTGGCATGGTGACCGTGACCCAGTGCTTCGTCCAGGGCCCTTCAGAAAGCTCCGNACTCCCTGTGGGTTGGCATGGTGACCGTGACCCAGTGCTTCGTCCAGGGCCCTTCAGAAAGCTCCGCCCATCTTCTCCCAGATGCTCCACGTGAACATTGCCGACTCTCAAGGTTGAGCGCACTCGACACCTCACAATGAGAGGACTCTCAAGAAGGAACACAACCTCACGGTAAGAAGTGTTGGAGAGGGTAGATAAGGTTAAGAGCAACGTACCTCAAATAGCTGCCCCCAACCAGAGAGATAATCTCACCAGATGACCAAATGGCGATTGCGATGACCAGTCACTGCAACCAGCATTATCTCGTCCTTCCACCTCAGCATCAGTCGCACATTAGATAATTCTCATCACACTGTCCAGACCACATTAACCCCACTTAGCCTTCCTGGCGATCCCCTCACCTCCTGGGTCGCCACTCACTCGCCTCCGCCCTCCTCACTACACACGACTTACGGCCAAACTCGCCAAGCAGACCGCACGTATGTACCGTACCAGGCAGAAGACAAGCGCCAGATGAGCGCAAACGTACCATAGCTCCGATACCAAATTGCAAGAAAGATGAGCAATAGCGAACTTCAGCAATCACACAGCATCATACATACGAGTCCAGATAGTCGTTACCTCGAACCAACAGCAGAATTGCATCACGAGATTCACCAAATAAGAACACACCAAGAGTTCATAATTGACAATGCTGAAATAGTCCCATCATCATCAACGAAGAACCAGAGTTGATATCCTATCTGGCGCTCGGCGCCCAGACTACATGTGGCAGATCCTATCTAACCTATACTACGATGCCGAAAGATGACGTCAACAGCTTTCCCGAAGTACGAGCATATGGCGACCAATGTCGCCCGCTTCCAGCACTAGGTATGTCTCTCGCCACACTCACAACCTCGTTCCCCAACGCACAGATGCCACTAGCACCCAAGGACCACCCTGCGCTTCACCCAGCTTACAGCAGTGCAGCTYGGCTATGGCTGCGTGCTCCTTCCCTGCTCGCCCGTGAGAGCGTAGGCCCCAGCYAGCAAATAGCGCASCAGCGCTTGCGCAGCATGCAGCCAGCACCCGAATGCCGAATGCGGAGGCAGGCCCTTTGCTATATCGAAGTGGCCTGCCTGCGTCCAGTCCCAGGAAGCTTCCAGTAGGCCCCGGTAGCCTGAGGCCCAGCATGACGAAAACAGGCCTTGGGCCTGAGGTGGTTGCATGTGCCCAACTGCCTTTGGCGTGTGTTTGGCCCAGTACCCGTATCCAGCTCAGGGCCTGCTTCACATACATTCACACAGGCGGCCCAGGGCCTGGGTTCACTCAACCAACTGGCGTTGCTCAACTGCCTGAATTTCCCTGAGTTGCGTAGTGGCCAGAATAGGGCCCTGAGGGCCTCGTCAAGCCTGCCTTCACTTAGGGCGGCCGACAGGCTGCAAAAAGGGGGCCTTATGGGGCTCACAGAGGGGGTGGCCTCGCATAAGACTTCTAGACTTCACTAAGACTTCTATTCGACAGACCTACAGATCGAACCCCTACAACCTACGGACCTATGACAGCCTACCAGTTGCTTACGAATACACAGGTCACAGGTTCAACTCTCGGGGTCTACACAGGTACTGTACACGGTAGGGTAAGGTCTAGGGATCGAGCCCTGGGATCCGCATCTGCTACTGCAAAAAGGTGAAAACCGTTTCATTTTTTTCCTCTCTTCTTTTTTTTCTTCTTTTGTCCGTGGAATTGTTGATGACTGCCATCTCTTTTTCTTTGGAAGGCCGGGCGGGCAGGGGGGTGAGAAATGGGAAAAGTGAAGCGGGGAAAGGGGGAAAAGAGGGGGAAAGCGGGGGAAAGAGGAAGGGGAAAGGGAGGGGAGGGTGGGGTTGAGAAGCGGAACGTATCAAAGTGTATGAAATGGCTGTTGGGACGAAGGACGTAGCCATAGATGAATGACGTCAACAAATAATACGGAATAAGTATATAATAGGGGTAGGCTACCGTTGTCCCCCGAACACAACTCCCCCTAATGATGAATGCGTACAGGCTAGCTTTCCCGTCCGGTACAGCCATTATGAGGGTGCGTTGTGTTCGGGGGAAAGACGGTAGTCTTATCCAAATGCTCTTTGACTGGAGCCATTCGGATGAGAATCTACGCCTATATGCGTAATGACGTCAACAAATAATAATACGTATATAAAGAACGTACTCACACTAGGATGCTCTTGGATGTATTTGACCGAAATAATTGCGGCGTCATCTGCATGCATCTGACCGCAATTACGTACAGAGATGAGTCGAAAAAGTGGTGGTGACACTGGTGAGAGTATATGCCCTAAGAGGGGTGTGCTCCTCTTTTACGAATGCTCTCCTGCCGCAGTATTTGTTTTGCTGGCTTGTGATGGGGTGTGAACCAACAGTCTGTAGAGTGTTCCATCTGGTGTGGGTGAGTGATAATCTGCTTTGATTTTCGTCACAGGTACCTTGAGGGCAGTGGTTGGTGCCCACCTCAGGGTATCCGTTGTTGGGCAGTCGTTGATGCTCAACCACAACTGGGGTTAAGGTGGATTATCACTTACAGTGTAATCTGTTAGAGGATTCTGCAGACTGTTGAGGGTTCAGCCTCCTGATGAGTCGGGACGAAACAGTTTGTCACAGCCCCTCGTTTGTTGTCCTTTTCTCCCTCTCTGCCTACGGTTTACTGGGCAGCTCTGTTTGACAATGTATAGTATATATGTGTATATATGTATAATATATATATATATTTGTATGTATATATATATATATATATCGTCAATATAATATATGTATGTGTATATATATTATTACTTGTTGACGTCATACAGGTCAAGAAGAGCGAAAATCCTGCTGAATGCTACAGAATCAGCTCTATGTTTTACGCATATTCTCATTAGGATCTGGACGTATCTGCCTATACTTGCGACCAGATTTCTCTAAGCAAGAGCTGGTGCACGAGTAAGGCCTCCTTACTGACGATTTCCTGTGAAGGAATCTCGTTGTAAATACAGGCAGGATTCATTCTGTAGCATCCATGATGGATTCTGGCGTGCCGTGAAGGAAAAAGTTCCAATTTGTAATAGACTGAAAATACACTGAAAGTACACTGATGTGAGGAATGTGTCCTCAGGGGCCCCTAGACAACATGCATATGTTCTGGACTGTGGCCCCCAGCAAGCCTCGTGCCCGCCCTAAGTGAAGGTGGCCTGAATATCCACGAGAGGCCCTTATTTCAGCGTTTTTCCAATGTGGGTCTCAGACAGTCGCTGCACGCCAGTTGGTTGAAGTGCAACCTGGGCCTCACCCTAGGCTCTTCGAGAAGAAGCAGCTGCGCCAGGCAGTTGAGCCCAGGACGCAGGTGGTTGCACCCTGGGCACACCCGACACATCACGAAGTGGCCACGGGCCGATGAGAATGCAGCATTGTCGTCAGATCTACCCCGCAGGCCAATGCAAACACAGCAAACATTCGGAGCCTGGAAAATCCTGGGTGTGCCCAACCGAAAAGGTCCCAGACATGGGCCTGGGCACAGACACTGGGGCTTAACCAGAAGCTACTGGAAAATTCCACGGCCAGGCCCAGGCAGTCCAGCAGCAGCAACATCTCCCATATAGGGAGGAAGCCAGCCAGTCTAGGGGATGCTGGCCTAGGCAGGCAATGCGGACACGCTGCTGCGATTGAGCACTGGTGTCTGCATTCGCTACTGCTGGCTGGGGCGCGCGAAGGCGCTGAGTGGTGAGGGTTGCTGCTGGGCCGTGGAGCACTAGCGGCCATAGCCAGGCTGCAGGGCGTGAGGGCAGGTGAAGGGCGACGGTGGTCTTCAGCAAGGAGGCGCAGGTGTGGGTGGACAAGGGTGATGAGGGGAGACGAGTGTACGTACCTGGTGTATGTGGGAGGTCGGCATTGGTTTTGACGTCATGTACATTGGTCTTCAAAGTCGAAGTGAGCCTGTTGCATGAATGTAGATAGGCTAGGTAGGATGAGTAGAGTAGGCTAGGCGCTGGGCGCCAGACAGTAGGAGCGACATTTAATACTGCGTTGGTGTGGCCTGAGGGCTTGGACATTGGCTCACGAGTTCATGGTATCGCTCTTATTTGGATGGAATCTTGGTGCATTTGAGCTCTCTGCTTGTTACATGACTATCTGGACTTCCGCGTGATGTTGAAACTTGGTTTTCTATATATCACTCTCGCTCATATTCCTTGCACTGAAAATAAACACACTGAAAATACGCTGAAAATAGTAAAATACACTGAAATTACACTGAAATTACACTGAAAATAAATACTGAAAATAAATACGCTGAAAATGCACTGAATATATACTGAAACTGAAAGTACAGTGAAAATACACTCAAGTTACTGAACAGTGAATACACTGAAAATAGTAACTGCAAGGAAAATGAGAGAGAGCAAGATGACAGAATCCAGATAGCACAATCACATTGAAAGAAAGAAAGTCCCACTGTGTCCAGATAAGCAGCATTGCACCAATATTACACCAATGGAGAATTGAAACACTGAAACAGAATGTCAATGAGAGCTTTACACTCGTCCCCACCAACATACGTATCCAGGCCCTCTCTCCCTACTTGGCGCTCTGCACCCAGGCTACTCCCTACACAGCTACTTCCTGCCTACGAATTGACAATTCAACTGTTGACGTCAGCAGTCACCAAAGTACTTGAAGATGTCGACCAATGCAGACCATCGCCACTACCAGGTATGCGCCCTCACATCATCATCCTCATCTCTTTCACTCTCTCCCTATCCTTGTCTTCCTCCCACGTCTTCTCCCTTATGCACGAAGACCACCAC